TGATTTTGTTCTTTTTCCTTTACCTTTTTTATTGCAAGTGAACTTCGCGTTCCCGCCTTCATTGAAGCGCTGTTACCCCAATAACTAGATCCCAGATCAGTGAAATAAGTTCAAATGTGATCAAGGGACAAGTAGCGCTGCTCTACATGCTGACCGGCTGATCAAATCACGAATTGAATCTCGTCCAAACCAATCGAATCTCATAGTTAGTCATCCCCGTCCTCTTCTACTAAAATAAAACCACTGATTTGGAAAGAGGGTAATCCCGCAAGCTACTGCATAACCCCATTCACATCGCCACCATAAAGAATCGAAGCAGAATGCGTGGCACTTCCCAGGAAGACAAACCGATCTACAGCCTTATCTATGGTAGCATTGCATTTTGACCAATCATAATTTCACTTCATTTTTGAGCCATTGCCATTACAGAAACCGCATCTCACTAATTATTCAGCCTAACGGCTTCGCATAATCGCATCCTCTGCATTTACATAGAAGAAATTGAAGGATAGAACAAAGGGCGTTATTTTTGTGGCAATAAAGGTGGAATGTTGAAGCCCAATTTCTAATTTAACTTTCTTACGGAGAGTTCTAAAGACAGATATACAAGCAGTTGAAGGGGGTCAAAGGTACCATTCAAAATGAGGTCTTCAGTGTTATATGAGAATTTTTTAAAATTTTCTCTTGAATTAATTACCGAATTCTTGAGTTGTTAAGTGAGTGAGCGCATGAAAACTCAAGAGATTATAAGGCCTAGTATGAAACCAAGTAGTTTTCAAACAAAAACAGATGAGCAATTCAATAATGAGCGGATCAATCATGCTACCCAGAGGACGACTCCACCATTTGGCTCTCAGACCGCAATTAGATTGCAGTAGTGTTTAAATTACCTCTTTCGGCGGCTTTGGAGGAGCTTTCTCTACTTCCTTCTTATCTTTGCCATTCTCCACGTCTTTCGATTTTGGTGCCTGCACCGCAGTTTGCTTATCCTTATCCAATGCTTCCAATTCCTCACGTGCCTTAACATCGACTCGCATAATCAAGTGTGTTACTTTAGAGTAAATTAAGAGAATAGGTCAGCTAACGAGAGGGAATTACTGAAAAAGACCAGCATACTTGTTGCATAATCCTCATCTTCTTAGCACCCATCCTCTTCTCTTTCCATTCCTTCTGGCTTTGCCTGCAACACCAATCTAACACAACAGAAACATTGGTGACGTTAACGCGGGTCACACATTTAATAAACTGATACGTCAAAAGCGAAATCGATGACAGTAAAGAATATCCTACTTGAGTTTCTTGAAATCGTGTACTTCAGTTTTCGGCTTTTTGGCGACGGGTTCATCACCTGGTAGCCTTGCACAAACGATGTCCGGCTGATTAGTCTTAGTTAACCTGAAATCAAACACATGATGATGACGAAATTATGAAATGTCTAAAGGGTTGTGTTATACACTAGATGTTGATCCAACTTGATTAAAATTTACCGAATTCATTTAAAGCCTATTAGCCATTCTCAAAATGAGCCCAAGTTCGCATGGTTAGCTATCCTCACAAGCGCCCCCGAGCCAGCCCTAGGGTTCGTATTTAGATCAAAGAGGTGTTTCTACGCCCGCCCTAGTAGGGCTGCGGCCTCGCAGTAGGATTATCTTTGGCAATGCTCTTTGCTATTTTCAAATCTGTACACAAGTCCACTGATCAACCTAGTGTGTGACGCAGAGTTTAAAAAATACTCAACGAAGATGAGCGCAGATAAGTTTTGAAAAATAACTCACACGAAATCTTCTGAACTGCGCCCCCTCTTCTGCCGGTTTTGTGTTCCTTACAGGGGATTAGAGTCAGTTATTAAACCCTAATTAATTTGGTGCGACGCCGAACTGGATGGGTGCGTACTGGCGCACTGCTGCCCCTCTAGCGTCTTTGATAGTATTTATATGAATATACTCTGTGACAAACAACCACGCGCATCAGAGCGTATGGAAAAATAAATAAATAAATAAATGATAATATTTAATGGACAATATGCGAGTTCCGCAGCACACTGCTGAAAGCGTCTCTGAACGATGCACCACCACTGCTTCGACATACTTTTCAGAAACAACAGGGGTGACCATCTGTATGTTATTTATACGTATGTTTGGAAATTCGAAATGACCTAAAGACCTTCGCACTTGTAAAGACCCGTCATACGCCAACGGATCCATTTCAAAACGGCGGGAAGGGCATCGGGTACAACACTTACAGCCGCCTCCAAAAATCTTTTTTTTGTATGGAGCAGATGTACGTGGTGGAAAAAACGGCCTTATTGTGCATGTGAAGTAACATCTCTGTGCGAAAAAAATTGAGAAAACTGCGCCACAAAATAACCTGGAAATCACCTCGAGGAAGTCTGGAAAGGAGGTACTCAGTTTGAAATTTCTCTACTAAATATGCGCGAGCAAAAGTGCACGTATCCTTCCAATCTTAAGCCAAAAAAAATAATCGAGGCTGATAAGTCTCTACGGGTGCGCCATGCACACAACCTCCGTTTGGAACCGTAAAAATATTTGGAAGTGCTCTAATTGTGAGACTATGAACAAAATTGCGTAAACAGCTCAATATTAGGTATGGGTGAAAATCCAGTTGGGGGGGGCCACTCATATATCTTATCTACATATCTTATCAAAGTGACTATCTAATCAGAGCGAAGTTGCGGAAAGGCCCTCATATCTTATCAACATTCAGAGCACAGGCTCTGTGTGTGCGATTAGATAGGATACCACTCGCACTAATTCGGCCAACCAGTCGTCAAATTCCTCCTTTGACTTCGCCTTCAGCTCAGGCCACGTGGTGAACATCGTGAAAGTGCGAAGTGTCAGCAGGGCAGCAGCCATTTCCGCTATAGAATGGTAGGCAAGGGTAACAGTCAAATGAATGTGTGACGTAGCAATCGTAGGACACCGTCTCAGTACGCTGATTACGTTTGATAAGATATGAGTGCCTTCCCCTATGCTGTGATTAGATATGAGGGCCTTTCCGCAACTCCGCTCTGATTAGATAGTCACTTTGATAAGATATGTAGATAAGATATATGAGTGGCCCCCCCCAACTGGAGTTTCACCGGTAGTGGAGTATAGTAGTGCTGAATACCTAGTAAAGTAACGAAGATCAAACTAATTAGTGTGGGCTATAAACCTCACCAGCTGTAAATGATGCCGGCGTCTCTGATAATTATTATCTCTCTTCCTTTCAGCTAGTTCTTCTAGGCATAAGGTAATTGAATATCAACGATCTTACTTAGCCCACGATTCGAAGCTTAGTGCCTCTCCGCCAAGCATGATATTGCCTTGTTCATCTTCTTCCACTTCTAATTCGCCTTCTTCCGTTATCATTCTGCAAAAGAAAATGTTGAAAAGGAGTAGCAGGAAATTAAATATGAAAGAGAAAAAGTTTACTTTTGACGTTGAGCTTCCAATAATGCACCTACTCCCATCATCACACGGCCAGCACGTGATTCTGCCGAGTTCCTCCTAAACATCCATTAAAAGGAAGAGTTCGAAAAATGAACAGAGATAACTCGCTTATGTTTATGTTTATGTTTATGTTTATGTTTATTACGCCTGCGAAAGGCAAACGTGAGAAAGTAACAACAACGTGATGTGAACTGTCAAGACAAAAACTTGCACACAACCAAACAAAAATAATATAAATCATGAATTAGCTGTTAATCAGTCTCTGAGAACATTAGGATCTGTCTTTGCTCAGCAGCAATTTAACAACATGGCGTTTGAAGTGCGCCAGCGAAAGTGATGGGTACCTTCTTCGCTAACTTCATATAGTCACTACCAGCCCTAAAGGCAAAGTTTCTTGCCCTTAAATTAGTTTTAGGGCGCTTCAACGATATCTTCATGGATCCTCCCCTAGTTCTCGAAGATGTCAGCTTGAATACATCGGAGGAGCCGTAACCGGACGCGTCCTGTACCAGTTTATGAACCAAACAGAGGTCGAAAACTCTACGCCTCACTTCTAAAGATGTCAGTCCCAGATACTGATTCCTAATAGCTGCTTTGGTATTTTGGAGTACAAAAAACCACCAATTCGAATAAGCAGTTTACGAGTAAAGTTATTTGAACCTTCTCAAGCGCATATACATGCTTCCTCCTTGTGGTGTTGAATACCGTAGTGCTGGACTCAACCAGGGGGCGCACATATGACTTGTAAGCACGCAACAAAACATCTTTGTTTGCTAGGGATAAGCCTTTGAAAATTTGGAAAGTTCGTAAATTTGCCATTCTGACCCTCATTTTAATGTGTTCCGTGAAGTCCAGCTTATTGTTATAATGGAAACCGAGATCTCTGACAGATTCTACAGCAGAGAGAGGCACGCCATCTACAGTGTACGATCGCATCGACGGTGAAGTTCCAGACATTAGTTGCATGAACACTGTTTTGTGTGGCGCAATTGGGAGTTGCCACTGCTTGGACCAGTTCACTGTTAGATCAATCGCTTTCTGGAGTGTTTGGGAATCCACCGCTGCTGAAATTTGGTCTATAGATCTTCATATCGTCTGCATATACCTTCGCTGTAACACCTGCTTCATGAAGCATGTCGGGAGTTCGGCCGTATAAATATTAAAAAGCACTGGTGACAGCACACCGCCTTGGGGCACACCACTGAGCACCCGCTTAACATTTGAGAAAGACTGGTCAAGTTTACTGGAACGTTCTACAACTGAGATATTCTGAGATATTCTTACCCTCTTAATCGTTTCCTACTAGGCGCCACCGGGACATACTCAGCAGCCTTCATCTGGACCAATGTTGGTCGATCGACGAATGCGTCTCTTCTCACTTCCTGTTTCCAGCCTCTTTAAAGAATGAATGGGTGCCAATAGTTGAGTAGTTGCAAGAAATATCAGAAATCGGCAGAAAACGAAACGAACTACTAACTTTATCAAGTCTTGAAGATGCTCCCTCATCCAAGCACTTTGTGCCTCGGTGAGATGTCGTTGTAGAGTGTGCAACATTGCCGGTCGCAGCACACTGTCTGGCAGTCCTCCGATTTGAGCTGACACCGCGTCGCACATCGTATACAGCTCCATGACGTCCGTGATTTCAGCCCAGTTAACACGCTGATCCGTGACGTACTGAACGAGTGGTTTATTCTCAGATGTATCATAAAAGACCAACTGTGGTTTTAACAACTCGTCTGAATCCATGAGAAATCATCATTTCACCAATTTTGTTCCAGGCGATCCTTTCCATACAAACTAATGGACGAAATGGTTGCAGGGAAATCAAGCATCAGAGAGTTCGTGTGTGCAAAACATACACAAAGTAAACGGGATTTTGCCAGTCGGCGGAAGGGGCACCGAACAGCTAACAGACCAAGAATGGGTTGCTGCAAGGAGCAGATTGCAGAACGAGAGGAAGGAAAAAAATTATCACCTAGTGCTGGGAATCTTATGGTTACAGACTAGGAAAGTGGCAGAAGCGAGCAATGTCTAAGGTGTCTGAGCATGCCTGAAATAAGTGGAACCATCATAGGCAAAGGTTGGTAGCAGTACAGGCAACTGCAAGTTGCTGCAAAAATTAACAACTCTGTTCTGACACGTCCTAAACCCCAGAGACCAGAGAACGTATGAAGGCCAGCAAAGAAAGGAGAGGCGAATACATAGTTACTGTGAGCGGGCGGGCATCAAATTAGAAGAGCAAACTTGAAGTCAGATCACCCTGCTCCCATCTTTGAAGCCAAACCGTGTAACGTGTGCGTTGAGTGATGGAGCTGAGATGCTGCATCTCATGTATAGTGAATTCCGCGCGCAAAAGAAAAACAGAAAACAAAGCAAGACTAAAAGATTACCTTTATAAACATGTCCGTCACGTCATCTTCGTCTAGTACCGGTGCTAGTTTGGCATCAGCTGGTGCAGAAGCTGTAGGCTGAGCAGTCGTATTCGGAGGTTCTTTAGCGGGTGGAGGCTCAATTTCTGGTGGTACGAAAGGAATAGGCTTTTGCTCCTCTTCAACAAACTTGGCGTATTCGACAGGCGTTAAAATCCTGAAGCAGTCCGCGTGAACTGTGCAATCACAAATGCTTCAACCTATTATTTCTACTGTCATACCTCAGTACGCTTTGCTGTTGTCCATCGTCAAGTTCAAAACCATCTTCCGACCTGGCTGCTTCAACCTGCTCCTCCGTATGCATAACAACCTGAATACTACGATAAGAGCGAGCGAAAACATTTGGTTAAGCTTCAAACTAGAACCTCAGCTTGCTTATGTTGGTTTCGGAGCGGGAGAAAGGTGATCTTCTCAATATGGTCTGCTTCTAAACCAACGACACCTCGTTCAAAACTTGTCAGTCAATTTTAGGGATGTTAATTATGTACCTTGCAAAAATCCATGAAAAGTAAACCAAGAAAAACTCACCAAATATGCTATTCAGCAAGTTTTGTTCCGCGGAAATGGGCAAGTCAAGAGCGTATATGGTTCGCTTTTGAGCCTCTTCATCTACCGGAATCTTGAAAAACGGTCGGGAGCGACAAGCAGCAGGGGCAACTGAAGAAGCGATTAGTCCACTTATTGATAGTTAAATCATTTCTGCAATAAGTGAACAAACTTACAAAAAGCTGGACATGCCTCAACCTTGACAGCTTGACCGTCCACCCGCATTTTTTGTGCTTGTGTGAAAGATTCTCTTGCAGAACTAATCGATTCAAAAGTGAAAGATATTGAGCCAGGTTTTGGACCCTGAATTTCGGTACGATGATGCAATGAGCGTAACTGTAGTAGGAATATTCACCAGTAAACTGCTAATTCATATTGCGTGTACCTTTTGTTTTGTTGCACGTCCAAATCGAATATTGAAAGAGTCACAACGGGCAAGCATGTTTATAATCTGAAAAATTCCTTCTTGGATTATAAGCTTAGATGTTAGCCAATAAGCATTTAGTAATTAGAACCTCGGAGTGTGTCCTCCATCCTCCTGGATGTCTCAGTCCCGTGACAGTAAATGTTCTATTATCTGATTCGGGTTCTTCGGCGGGTTGTGACGAGGCAGACTTATTTTTGTCTACTTCCACTTCAGCTGCTGTTGCCGATCCCACAGATGAGCCCTCAGCCACAGCTTCTGAGCCCGAATCAACGGTACTGCTTTCGGTAACAGTCCCATTTACAAGAGGTGTAGCAGCTGATTCCTATAATTTGTAACTGCCATAAAGTTCATGAACGTTGCCCTGAATGTCACAATTTCCACCTCATTTAAAATAGTTGGCAAAACGCCATGACTTCAATTTGTAGTTAGCAGATTTGATTAACAAAGGTTACTTTGAGCTAAGCGATGTTCATAATTTTGTATTGAACTTTATTCTGTTTTTTTGGAAAAGATTTTAATCCAACCATACTGAAGCAAATTTAAAACATCACATTTGGAACCTTCCAGAGATCTTGCAATTTTCTTTTGTTCAAGTGTCACTCCGTTTCATTACTGAAAGTTTGTGGCCTTTACCTGCAACAGTGCGAATCTAAGTGCTTCACATTGATGCAACTGCCACACTTGTGACAATTTTAAACTAATTAGCAGCTTTCACGACCGGATAATTTCATGCTCTCATTTTCGCCGAACGAGTTGCACATAAATATCTCCAGGTGACAACCCAGAATCAATTTATGTTGTAAGTGTACCGGTCTCATTTATTCAGAATATTGCCCTAAATACTCGCTATTCAGAATAATCTTCTCAACAGAACGACTTAGATTTTTTTCTTTGTCTATAGTTCTTGTGGAACCTTGTGTGTTATGTGTGCTCCCCCAGTTTTTTTTATACTGTTGGTTTCCTCCTTTTGTTACTGGGCTTGGTATTATCACTTTCTTTACAGAAAATACTCTCTACCCATGCACTTTTTTCATCGTTTAGCCTAACCTAACCAACGATACTCCTCACATTTACGACACGATTCTCCAACTCATAACTACCACAAGTCGGCCACTGTTTTATTGAACGTAAGATTACACTCTCATGACAACTATTCGTTTCGCAGAATCAGTTTTATTCGATATTTGGCGCCGAATATTACGGTTTCATAGACATCAAGCACATCACTATGTGTCCTTCATTTTGCTCGAGTCATAGCTCTCTAGCCGCCGCGTAAATAAATGAGTCGTATATTCTCTTGGACTAAGAAAATTCATCTAATATTTCAAGTGTTTGGAAACAAGCCAGGATTGGACCTCTTGTTATCGAACTCAGCGGGTATTATTTCGAGAATGAAATTAAAAGTAATAGGGAAAGAGTTCCGAATTTCTTTCTCGATACGAGATTTATTAGCACAAACTTAGAACGAGTACACATTAATATTTGTTTTGTGGGGTACCGACCCTTTCTGGTAACTAGATTCTCACTACATCGCACACACCAAGCACGTATAGTAGTCGTATAGGAACCAAGGGCGCGAAGGACTCCTTCATCTAAGAGGATTAGAGGAAGCTTCACAGAATAATCAGTATGTAGACTAGCCAACTCTCTAAGAAACAATATTAGATCATTTTACTTGATAATTTCATGAGCTTCGGGACGATTCATCCCGCTTCTAATTTGATTATAGCTAATTCCGAACAAAGGAATAGACGACTTAAGACAATAGAGCAACTAGGTAGACCTAAACCCTCTAGAAAAAACCGTTCAGCAATAACGATTATTCTTGGAAGATTCACAAAAATGAAACGGAAAAGCGCTGAGTCCCCAGGTTCTCCAATTTTCTGACGTCCAGCCAAAGGTTTCTCTACAATTTATTCACCTTCTTTCGATGTTACACTCACCTCTCTTTAATTTAATCAAAGTACCCAATGATTGCTTTCCTCAGGCGTGCCGATATCTTGGCCGCTATATACAAGCAATAATCTGTTGGCGATCGCTATTTAACTGTGATATGCTCTTGAGAAATTTCCCGTGCAAATGGAGACCTTAATTAACGCTCATAATGCTCCGCGTCCTTATTGCCCACATATATCCGACCCTGGAAATGAATTGAAGAAGATCTTAGAAGCTGAAGAATTACGAAAGAATCAGACCGGCTATATTCATAATATCATTTCTCAAATGAAAACCAGAAAATCAAGAAAATCAGATAACCGTACTCCTCTATGAGAATAAGGACCGGGCGTAATCCACACAATAAATCGATTCTAATCAGAAAACGGGTTGAAAAACTTTAGATAAACAGGTGTGTTTGTGCTCTTTCACGCAATTTCTTACTTGAGCAGGCGATAAGCGTGCATGAGCACCCGATCCGTAATAAGGTAACGGTTATATACACAGTGCGTTTCCGTAACTACTAAAAGGTCATCCTCTAAAATTGTTGTATGTCCGAGACCACAAAGATGAAAAAACGACTTAGGAATTTAATCCTAATCTATCACAACTCCGACATCCACATCCCATACGTCAATAAACGTACGCTTATCGCCGCTTCTCATAATTATTCCAAACCGTCACCAAGGGCCCCACCCTAGAAAAATGACAAGTCAAGAATGAAGATTCCATATGGCGCTATTATAGGTCAAGAAAGTATCTCGTACGATTGTGTAGGTATTAATTTCAATGTCAGAATATATTAATGAAATACTGCACTATATATAGATTCTCGGATTTCGGATTGCAACGCGCATATTCGGAACCTCTCCTGTGTGGGATTGCGGAGATATTGAGCAATTACCGATAACCTTGTGCCACAAGAGCCCATATGCGGCAGAAGCAAAAGAATTTGCGCAACGTTCAGGCATTATAATTAACGATCTTTCTTTTTCACTTACATGTCGAAGTATAATGCTTTGTATTCTACATCCTTATGGCGCAGAATCCGATCTGTTTTCCGTATCCCTACTGCTCGAAAAATAAGATGGGCTAAGATGGCAGTAGCTTCGGCACTTCAGCTAATAGTCTCTCTCGGGAGGGTCGAGCGATCATTCTAGGAAATAATACAGACTCGCCGGTACGGCAGCTAGGACTGGGTAAAAGTTCTCATTGGGCAAAGCTCTTTGCGAACCCACTCTAGTTCCTCAGAAATAGTAGATGTAACAGCACTCATTTAGATTCTCCATTCCTATGCTACGTTATTGAACAAAGGGACTGCAGAGAAATCTCGATGATGGGGCGTAAAGATTTGAACTAGTACAAGGCGCTATCAACAGCGCTTTTTAACGATGATTTGCAGTTCTGCATATTTTTTCGGCTGCATTGCAGAAATTCAAGATTTACTCTGAAGCGCGCAATGGGGAGATTGATTACCACTCTGGACTCAGGTCTTGCATTCGCATCTTTCGTATATAGTATCAATGGTTCTCCCTATCTTAGGTTCAACATAGATTTGACCACCACAAATCTATTCCTCTCTCGTACTTCATACACTCTAAGTTTAATTTGTTATATATGTCGTGTGTTGCGTTTTTTAATACACGTTGTATATGGTCTGTGTTTTCCCCATCATCTAAATTAGTGCGTTCTTTAGCCTAGGTTTCGATTTAACGATGGTTATACTTCCTATATAGTGAATAGCTGCTCTCAGAAGGCATTCCAAATTTTGTAGATGCAATAATGATCATGGACTAAACTATGCTCTGATATCCTGGAGGTTCGTCGCATAACTGGCATAATTGAAGATATCTTTTAGTCTCAAGAATTAAATCTCTTGGAATGATCAAATTCATCTAGAGAAAACTACCAAGATTCGCACTGTGGTAAGGTAGTTTGTATCGCACAAATAACGCACTTCTTCAGCTTAGAATAGGATTCAAATTCTACTTTAAAGATGAAATGTTACTCGTGAGAACACTACGTAACATTGTTGACTATGCAACTTATAGAGATAATTACATCGGCTGGTATAGCGACAAGCCAACAATCTCGCTAGTAGGACTTCTGATCGAGAGGAGAAATTCCTTGAACTCAGAAACTACAACAATACTATGTCATTAGAAGATTTAGGAAGGACGTTCTAAAGGTGGCAGAATATTCGAATTCTTCCACTTCAAGCGGAATATCTATGAATTACTTTCTATTAGAGAAGGATAGTATAGTCAACAGATTTTTAAATTATGAGTGGTGGGAATTTCTATTATCACAATTAATTGTCAAGTGCTTCTTAAGAATTATTTCAACGCAAGCTGGTTTAATGTGTTAAGCTATTTGTGATTCAGTTCATTGAATAGATGACGAAAAGGCTTAGGCTCCATTTCTTATTGCGTAATTTTTTGAAGATCAGCGTACTTTCATGAAATATAATGCATGCAGAAACTCACTGCTAGCCATCTTCTTACAGACGTGATATGCACTCTTCATCTATTAATGGTAATGTAATCATATGTCTGCTATCAATTAAATTTTCTTGACGAAGTTCGTCGTATTTACATGTCAATTTAATCACACATCTCGCGGTTAATCAGATAACAAAATTCTAAACTGTCCCTTTATTGAGAGCTTTTGAAGCACAGCTTTACAAGCTAGAAACAATCCCACAAGATATTGGAGAGGGATATAGATGGAAAATGTCAACAATGCGAACATGGGAAAAATTAAAGTAACACAAAACATGCAATGAAAGATTAAATGTGGTAACCAAAACAAAACAATAGAAGAAAGAGCTCAACCCATAGCGACACGTTTCGTATCTAGAAAAACCGGTATGTTTGCACTCTAATGCGATGACACACAGCTAAATATTAGGACGCCAATGAAGCAAACGTGAATTCAACATCAAACGTGGTGGTCTTGCAGCTTTGTGCCGTAGTGAGTCCAAATGTTTGATGTAGACGTGTACCCACAACTCGTAGTCATCCGGCGCTTCCGACATCACCTTGGGATCACATAGTTGCAGCCAATGGAGAGTGTCCACGACATCCTCAGCTTGCATTCCTTAAACTCGATATTCATCCTCACTACTCAAAAGGCATAACTTCTCAACTTACCAAGACTTTTCGCCAACTCAGAAACACGTATCCACGCGGTATCCATGAGCCCAGAAAGGTAATCAACAATGATATATGCCCAGTAGTGATGGAAACTCGCTGCGCCAAGATCGGATAATGGCTTTTCGGGCGAGCCTTGAATACCTTCACGACGAGAAAGTTCGTAACCTGGAAAAGATGGGAAAAGGAAATAGACTGTAGAAAAAGTAGTGTGGGGAAAAGTATACTATTAGAAAAGCATTCTGGCAAAATGTCGCTATTTACAGGAAACTATTCAGTTTTAGAGTCAGTCAATGTATGCAGGAAAACAAAAGTGTCGTCACATTGAACAAAAAAATGAAAATATTTCAAAAACTGATAGGAAAATAAAAAATGGTGAAGAAATGAGGAGCACATAGCATTGTTAGACACTTATCACTAACTCTAAAAAAAATAATAGTTTGCTACTGACTTAGCTGAATCAGAAAGCTTCCGAAGCCTTGTCGTTTGAAAAGCCGGAAAAACGAGAATACAACTCAGATTGTGACCATCAGGCGACGTTCGTTCCTTGGAGAAATAACCAACTGGTCTTGGCCCACCTTAATCCAATACAATGAAAAAATAACCGAATATATACGAATTAGAAAGGGAAGACGTCAAATAGCTGCAAAATAAACGTCAAAAGTTATCTAATAAAATGAATGAACGAGGGGTACCGTCATTCTTAATGTTGCAGTTCGATTGTGGAGTAAATATGTATCTATCGTGCAATCCTGCTATCGCATGATCGATTCACACTACCCCATTGCCGAACGCGCAATATTCATGCCAGGCAGTACGGAAGCAGGGTCAACCCTATCGTTGTTACTCTTTGGAAATTTTTTACGACCCCCCCCCTTCAGGGGTGATTTGATACGACCCCCCTTTTATGTGACACTTGTGTAGAGACAGTGTTTACCATCAATATTTATTTCTACGTAAGTCATTAAAGATGAAACTTTAGCAAAATCCACGACAGAATTCATCGCTGCTTGCAAACACGAAAAAATGAGATGCATTCAAAGATATCCGTGTACTCCAAAGGGTTACCAAACTAGGAGATGAAATAAACTGAACCAGTGACCGAATATTGACAACATTACCTGATAAAAACTTATGAGAAGTCAGAAAAAATTATCGCTCCAATTGAAATACTGAAATCCTTCACGTTCTTCAATTGCAACACAATTTTTACACCCCTCTTTCTAAGGCTATAACTTCCTTCATATTCGAGCTTCTGCGCCGAAGTGATTTGATTTGGAAAATTCAAATTATTCTCTCTCCAACCATGGGTAAAAATTCTTCGAAAGTTAATTTAATAAAAATTTAGTACGTTGTTACTTTTTTCTGTGCAAAGCGACTTTTTGACCTTCAAATGATCATAACTTCTTCAAAGTCATTCATTTGGGAAGCTGAACACGTATAATAAACTACAGGATTCAAGCTTTCTAAGGAGCACCCAAGCGTTCCTGAAAGATCAGTAGTTCAAAAATTAGTCCCGTTGTTACTTTTTTGGGGGTTTGCGTTACTATTTTTTTGGAACCGCGACTTTTTGACCTTCAAACGATCATAACTTCCTTCAAAGTCATTCATTTGGGAAGCTGAACACGGTATAATAAACTACAGGTTTCAAGCTTTCTAACGAGCACCCAAGCGTTCCTGAAAGATCAGCAGTTCAAAAATTAGTCCCGTTGTTACTTTTTATTTTGAGGGGTATTCTTCAAGCCATTTTCTCGAAAACGCGAGTTTTCTTAGGTTTCACTGCCCGTAACTTCTTGGAAGACCAATTTTATGTTTAATTAGGATGTGCTAGAAAGCTCCGAGCATGCGCTTGCACTACATCCCTTGCCTTGGTGCGCGCCACGCCTCGGGCGCCCTTCTAATTCGCTGATTCATTTGAAAGCTCATTTAGAGGGAATCGTGGTTTATAGATGCTGTATCAGTCATCTTACGAAAACGTAACGTGCTGGCTATTATCCGATATTACCAAGAATCCCACTGTCGGCCACCGAGAGGGTACGACCCCCCTCCCTCCAAGCTCAACTGAGTACGACCCCCCGTTGTTACTCGTAACAACGTAGGGTTGACCCTGGTGGAAGGTATGACCGCGCCCTGGAAGAGAGCCCACGGTTACATTCCTAATGTGTTAAAAAAATGCTAGTCATGCTAGTCACTCCATCAACGGTCGAAGAAACCCTGGCGAAATTCGGGAGGTGGGCGAGATACCGAGGATTTGGTTTGCTCATGGTCCTAGTGCTGGAGTGGTTACATTAAGGGGTAGGTCCTGGAAACGTTCAACAACCGCTGGTCTGATTGTAAAGTTGTTGAAGAAGTTTCCCCGGAACAAGTTGAGGATCTTTGGGTACCTCAAGGGGAGAGAGTTAAGGAAACCCCACAGGCTTTCTGAAGAAACGAATTGGAACAATGTTGGCGTTCGCTCGAGGAAAGCGACAAATAATGATACGATACAAGTGAAATGAGAAATAAAAACTTGTGATAAATCACCAAGAAAAAGACTATTACTTGTCAACGCACCCGAGTCTCTGAGCTGGCAAACCACGTAGAATAAAAAAGTGGTGACGTCAAAATAAATTGTTTTATGATCCATGAATAACTTTGCAAACAAACACAAACACTGGCAAAATAACTGAAAAAGAACTAGTTTACAGGATCAAAGCACTTCAATTTGGTTTGCTACACATCATACCTTTTCCTTTTCCCCATCGACTTCATATACGGCAATTTTTTCGGCAGAATCCACATAAATTTCTCTTCCAGGAGGATGTTTCGCATTGCAAGTACTCTGAAAAGCTTGGGCTGGTCAGTCAACCATCTATTAGACTGATAGTAAGGGTAACAGTAATAACACCTTAATGTTAAACTTAGAAGATTTAGAAATGATCAAAACACGTCGTGACACTTTGTTGGTCTGAAGGGGAGGGAAGGAGGGTGGGGGTAAATTCTGGCTCCCCCACTTTCTTCACGATTTGGGGCGCGGCCGCGGCGAGCGCGGACGAGTCGATAGTGCCCGCGAACTGTGGTGGTGATGCGTTTTCAAATTTACCCACACAGTTCGCGGGCACTATCGACTCGGCCGCGCTCGCCGCGGCCGCGCCCCAAATCGTGAAGAAAGTGGGAGAGCCGTGAATTTTCAGTGGTTCTACTAAATAAATGTGGACCTTCCAATAGCAATGTATTGTATTTGGCAAAACCAGATGAGTCGAAAAACTGACCAAGTGCATTTTGAAGGCTCTCTCCTGTCGCATATAAAGGAAGCATTTGTCACATATAAACAGGTATCTTTCCTTCCCATATTCATCAGGATACGGTGAAACATACCTGAACGAAAAATCATACAGGCAGCCACATGCAAACACGTGCAAGCACGATGAGCCTTCATATTGTACAAATACATTTTATTTGTTTAACTATACATGATGTCGACAACAGCGTTTAACGTATAACGTTACGGCTATTTCTACCTTCGTCGAAGCCAGGAAGGATGGAAACCGGCTCATGCTTATGTGAAGCGAAAATCGTACAACTCTACAAGAACTTCGAAAACATTCGAAAGCAAAAGGACATTTTATAAGGTTGCTCCTATGGGCTCAATTTGTGGATCCAAAAAGTATGGTACCCTCCTTTTCCAAGGAAACGAGAAGAGCGTCGGGTGCAGACCATACACCACAAGTGACGACGGCCTCCACAAAATGTAAATGTTTTCTGCCAATGAAATGATTAGCCTGTTGCAGTTGTATTCTATCAGTTGTCACTAATTACAACTATCATTTACCAAAAATCAGCTATCACTATGAACCACTACTAACCAGATTTACTTGGAGGCCGTCGTCACTTGTGGTGTATGGTCTGCACCCGACGGTTCTTTTTTTTTGAAATGGAGGGTACTTCATCTGTCTGTATGCTTCGTATTGAATGAGCTGGACTCGAAGGCCTCAAAGGGTTGTGAAATATTTCGTCAGGTAGACGAAGAGTCGGTTTTCCTTCTTTCAAACTATAATACGAGGGGTGTGGTTCACTAGGACAGAAAGCGACTTTTTCGCGTTTCGCAGCGCGAAACATTTTTCGCTGCGGGAACCTCAGGTCCACGATGATCAGCGGTGGACCTGAGGTTCCCGCAGCGAAAAATGTTTCGCGCTGCGAAACGCGAAAAAGTCGCTTTCTGTCCTAGTGGACCACTCCCTAATATAAATTTGCCGGAACGTAGCCCTTCATCCCCGTCATCAACTTCATGCGTAGTTCGTAAACCGAATGAAACAGCGCAATTCTCCAATGATACTCACCAAGTATCCATTTCAAATTCACCATAGCGTACAACTTCAATATATTTTACTTTCGTCACCTAAATTCAACACATAAGAGAATTTGGAACAACAGTACTTTACTTTTAAGCCCAATTATTACCAAAATGTTATAAAATTAGTATCACAATTACCTCTATATGCTGCTCTTCCAAAACCTCCGAAT